CGATTGTATGTTTGTATTTTTAACTAGTTTTTATTAGTTCTAGTTGTGGAAATTACACACTTTTGGTGTAATACTTCATTTTCATTTTTATTTGTAATTTAGTTAGATTAGGATTTTTCTGAGCTAAACAGGTCAAAGATCATCTAAGGGATCAAGATTGGACCTTAAAAGATCAAGGAAAGTGAAAGGAGACAAGAAAGATTTCGATTTGGAAAAAATACTCATGTACCCGGTCGGGTATTGCCTATACCCGATCGGGTAATTGCTTGATTCGACTGTCCAAATCAAATCCGAAGACAAATGATCGTGGGAGCAAATTTTCATAAAGATTTGTCACATACCCGATCGGGTATATACCCTTACCCGATCGGGTATGCCCAGAAAAATCACTTTCTGGGCAATTTCCTGAGATACCCGGTCGGGTATCCTATATACCCGGTCGGGTATCCTATATACCCGGTCGGGTATCAGACCCTGCAGCTCCCAAAAGCCTATAAATACACCCCTTTCCTTCCCAATAAAATCACCAATTCACATATACTCTTTAGCTCAGTTTAGATTAGTGTTTTCTTTATATTTTCTATCATGTTTAGTCTCCAAATGAGGAGCTAAACTCTTCCATCTTGGTTTTGCTACTTTGAAGCTTAATGAATTTGTAAGTTGTGAGTTATTATCTTTAATCTTCTTCCTTGAATATTAATTCTTCTTTTAAATACTATTTCTATATCAATGTTGGGGAGTGTTACTAAGATGACAATTAGTTAACATCTTGACATTAGTTATAGTAATAGTTATTTCTTCCTCTACGTTAATATCGGGGAGTGTTACTAAGATGACAATTAGTTAACATCTTGATATTAACTATAGTAAGATTCATCTTCTTTAATATTCTTTCTTGAGTATTAATTAATTCCTATTCATATTTCATATTAATATTTTGAACATTACTTAAAGGATCAACTAGTTTTGTTTCATATATTAATTAATACTGGAATCGGTCGATTAATACGCTTGTTATTAATTCGGTCCTTTCATGGTAGTAAACTTGGATTATTAATGCATGCATCTCATGGTTAATAATCTAAGGGGAATTAATTATATTGATTAAACCAATAAACCGCTTGTGTTGAGGTTATCAATCTCAATCGTTTTCATCTTAAGTTTATTGCTACTATCAAGTTAATATACGGCGCTTGTTCTATATTGACTCGATAGTAAGTTTTATTAATGAACGCTTCTCGTTATTAATAACTACCCTCGATGAACTGGATATACTCCTCGATTGAGTATTCGAGAGGAAGATAGTTAAAGATATAACCGGGATCGACGAACATTTCATTAAGTGGATAAAAGCAAAGCCAAGTCTTCTTCTCATTAATTAAACTCATTTAAGTCATTCATCTTAGTGTTAATTAAATCAAATCAAATCTAAAACCCTCCCTTTGTTACTAGTTAATTAAAAAGAGAAATATTCCTTTCCCTGTGGATACGAACATATTCATTTAGAATGTGTTGGACTGCGGTTGACTATTCGTATTGTACGGTGGGTTGTTGACGTGTCCGGGGAGGTCCGGGGCGTGACAAAGTTAGCTAAAGCCTTTGAAGCACGCCAGGAGGACAACCGCCCCTCACCCAAAGGATGGGCTCTCAAGGAGCCCTTATCTTCCCAAGGACATCATTCACAGGGTACTGCACAACCCCCTCTGGCAGCCGCACTTTCGTTGAACAAGACAAAGGACTGCTTCCTACACCGTCCACTACCATTCGCAAGATGAGTGCAACGGAGGTCCAATCTCACCGGAAAAAGGACTTTGTTTTTATTGTGATCAGAAGTCTTCTCCGGGTCATAAGTGTCATAGCAAGCTCCAAATCTTGATTGGGGTTGATTTCGAGGATGAGGACATGCATCCCAACACATTTGTGTCAGAAGAAGCAGATGGGTTGGACTAGATCGGCGGTGATATCTTCTCCATCTTAAATACATTATATGGGCAAGAGATCCCAAGATCATCACACATTATGGGTCAAGTCGGACAACAGCCTTGTGTGGTTCTTCTTCTTCTTCTTCTTCTTCTTTTTCGATTTGCGAAGCTCGGTGAGGAGGATTAGCAGGCGGCTGGAAGGAGTGCTTCTATTTAGGCGTTCCAATCTTGCGGATATTTTGACGGACGGACGACGGATGGAGGTCGGCTTTGGTGTGACAGACAGGGGCTAGACGAAGAGAGGCGACAGATTCGGTTGTGCGCTGGTTGTTCAAGTTTTTGTTTTGCTTTCTTTAATTTGGAGATTGTGGTCAGTCATGGCTTGCTTGTCCATCGCTTCACGAATCAAAGAGTGGAGGATTGGCGTTTCGCAACGTGAAGGTATGACAGGGAGTTTGATCAACAAGGAGCAGGATGAGAAAGAAGATGCAGTACTCCTGAACCGCCGCCACTGGTGGTGCTCGGAAGGCTGGGAGAAGACATTTATTTTGTTGCATTTATTTATTTTAATAGTCTGGATTTGTTTGTTTATGTTCGATTTTATATTTTTTCCTGCTGTGGATTTGGATGTGGGTGATGGAGGGACTGTGGTGACCGTATTTGGCTCATTTGCGCCCATAAATGGATCAGCGAGTTATATTGCTTCTGTCGAGGTGATAAACTCTGAGTCTGGTTCGAGGGTCGACGGTTGTCAGGAGTCTTTTTGTCGATTTACCTACTATCTAAATGATGTGTTATCAATTTAAGCCTATTTCTTCTATAAAAAAAAAGTACTCTGAGTGGTAATTTTCAAATGTGAATTTCATTTGACATAAAATGAGACAACAAAAATTTACTGACACGTGATGTATCAACACCAATTTGGAACATAAGTTAGTTTTGTAGTTATGGCTTACATATTAGGAGCAAAACCACCAAGTCGTACATATCAATTTATAATCATATTTGAATATAATCAATATATAACAAAACTTAAATATAATATTTTTCACAAGAAATACTGTAGTTTAACTCATCAAAAACTAATATAAAAAAAATCAAATAAGTGACGTCATGATCTTTATTTGATGACAATCTTTTATGTCCAAATGATTGGATTTTTGACTTGAAAGTTGCTTTGATCCATATAGTGTTTGCTATATGCTCAAATAGTTGTTATTAAAACATATTTCAAGTATAGATAATTAATTATTTATGGTGATTACAACAATATTGGTGGAAACTCTGATAAAAAAATCTTGTCCAAAACTCTTTTTTTTTTTGGATGAACTGTAAGTATATTATAAAAAATCATCCAAGAAGACAAAGGTTCAGAATGTACAAGCAAAAAGGAAACAAAAATGCAGGTTATCCAACATGGACAACCTCTCCCCAACCTAAAAATAAGCAAAAGCTACGGCCAACATCAAACAAAGTGACGGTCAAGCACAAACAAATCAAAAGTTTACAAGTTCATGGGGATAAATGCTATACAGGATCTTATAAACATTGTATTGGATCCTAACAAAAACATCCTCTTCCTTCGGGATAAGTCCATCAAAACACACAGCATTTCGGATCCTCCAAATCCAATAGATGGAGTAGCAAAAAGCAATCCTAACCGCCTTAGCTCTGATGCCCGATCCTTGTCTCTTCCTTTTAATCCATTTCAGCGAGCTCTGCAAAGTCCCCATCTCCCTCGGAATGTCCAGCCAATCTCTCACCTTATGCCACACTTTACCTGAAAAAGAACAAACAAAAAATAGGTGTGGTACCGTTTCCGGACCACCCTTACAAAAAGGGCAAATATTAACAACATCCAATCTATGCAAATTATCTAAAGTAGCAAGGCAGTTACGAAAGGCTAACCAAGCCGTGAAAGAGAATTTAGGAGGGATGTAGTTCTTCCAAATGAAAAACATCCACATGTGAGAACCCCCTTAATTCTGAGTAGGTCATACACCTTGGCCGAGGAGAGCTTGCCATTAATCTGAAAACCATTAAGATGGTTAATGGCCAAACAAAGTGGTTAATGGTGCTATTAAAGTGAGACATGATTTGATCTCTAATCAAAGCAATCTTCTTGATAAGTTGGGAGTCTCTTTTATGAGGTGTAAACTCCCAAACACCTCTACCGTTAAGGTAGACCCCATGAATCCACCTAACCCACAGGTTACCCTTTTTAGTATGGATATCCCAAAGGGTTTTGGCCAGGAGGGCAGAATTCCAAACCTGAGTATCATGAATACCAAGTTCACCTTCTTCTAAAGATCTTTAGGGAGGCAAATATCAGCCCATGCAACCCTAGCGTACTTGCACACCCAAAGGAAGATACGACGGATAGAAGTGATTCTATCAAGTACAGCCTTAGGAATAGGGAGTGCCTGAAGCTAGAAGGAATGGACACCCTGAATAACCGATTTGATGCGTTCCACTCTCCCAGCATAAGAGAGAGTTTTAGTATTCCATGTAACACTGTCCCCAATGGTATTTACTTTTGAGTAATTAATGTATTGAACCTTATGGAATAGTTAATGAATTTACGAAGTAATGAATTTTTATTGATTCATTCGCGTGAATAGTAAATTTGCACGTGGGGCCCACACCGGGAGCGGGGACCACCCGATATTCCCGAAACCACATATTTTATTCATCTTGGCCTAGATAATATTTATATAGTGGTGGATATTTCATTTGGGCCATGGAAAGGCCCAGAGTTGACCGGTTGGTCAAAAGAAGCCCAAATATCGGTATCGGTAATCTAACAGATAACAGCCCGAAATGAATGTTGGCGGCTTATAAACTAAAGTTGGGGAATGTATATTCATTAAAGAGGCCATATTGATTGAGAGCATGTAATATATTTTATTTGACCCGATAAAATAAAATATATTTAGAACAGTCCGAAAAATACAACTTTCGGGACCGATTGTACACATCGGGACACAAAGGGATGACCTCCCACATGAGTGGGGGCCATCCCACATTTTTATGCTCATATATAGTTGACAAATGGGAGCTGCATTATGGGAGTGTGTGGTATGGAAGAGGTGAAAGTGGAGGGTTGGTGTGAGTATGACTTGAGGTGGACCTCACCTCCCTCACTCATTGGTCATTTGAGACAAAACCAAGCCTCACAACCCATCCCCCCTATCATGCTCGACCAAGACCCAAAGAAAAGAGAAAAAGGAAGCTATAAAACTCCATTCCCCACCAAATTCGAGCTCAAGCTTAAGGAAGTCAAAGAAGGGGGCTTGAAGAAGAGAAAGGTTAGGAAAAAGTGTGAAAATTAAGGTAATAACCTTATCATTAGTTTTCCTTTATTTTTCTTCTATCATATGAGATATATATCATATGAAGAACCCTTAGGATTTTTCTACATGATATGAGTGTGGAATAATGGGTTGGAAAGTGGTTTTAAGTCCAATAACGGATTTAGAAGCCAAAACTACCGCTTCGCCGGAAAATAACCTTTTAGAGGTTATTTATATTAATATGGGTTTTATGATTATAAAACCTTGTTATAAACTTGTATAAGGTATTTCAAGAGCTTTCACGAAGTTGAAAGGGTCGCCGAAGTTGTCACCGGAGTTTGTCAAAAGTCGCCGGAGTTTTGCCGGAGTTCAACCAAGAGGGGTAGAACTTCATAGCAATAATTTGAGGTGAGGATGACTGACTATATTGCTTATAATTAGTGAGTTAATTTCATGAGATTACCTAAGGTAATTAAATATGTTTTTATGGATTATTAATGATTAATAATGCCTAAAAATGAGAAGATCATTGTCTACAAAGAAAAGGAGCATAATATACAAATTTATGAATAAATTGTGTATGATTATGTGTTATGAGTATGTTGACTTGAGAATGGAATTAACTTTGAACTTTATGTTGAAATATACTTTTTACTTCATATAAGAATATATATGAGTGATTAAAAGTCATATTTTGTATATTGATGTAAACTATATTTTCAATGGAAAAATAGTTTGGAAATTGTTCTTATGACTATGAATTGAGAATTCGGTTGATAGAATTTATCTGACTAGTATTAAAATACTAGTCGGGGTATTGGAATGAGAATATGTTAGAATTGATCCAAGGTTTGGATTGTGAAATATTGAGCCTTAAGTAGTCTTAAGAGATGCTAAGGTGGATAAGTATGAACTTTAAGTGATACTAGGGGTAGGCCTTAAAGGATATACCCAAGATAAAGTGAATAATAAATTGATCCTAGATGTAGGATTGGCCTACGCGTGTATTTCGGTAGTCCTTGAGGATAACCGGTTAGATATTGGTAAATAGTAAGGATCATGGCCCTTCCCGACTCTAGAGAGTGGGGTTGGATAGCATGGACTTACATCGTGATCACGGGTTAGGGTGGAATCCGAACCGGAGACCTTACGAGCAGGGACGGATCCAGGATTTTGAGTCAAGGGGGGCGAAATTTTTCGTTAGTGTAGGGGGTGATTTTTTTTTTTGTTAGTGCAGCGGGGTGAAATTTTTTCCCCTAGTGTAGCGGGGCGAAATTTTTTTGCTACTGTAGGGCTATGCGGCTATTTTTATTCAAAAAATGATATTAATACTTGCACATCCCGAACCGGCATTCAAATCTATTACATTCTAAGTTTAGACGATGACAAAGACATCAACCAATACATTTTTAATAATTTCTATATTGTTTAACCTCATGAATCGGTTATTGAATGGTAATTTTTGTCCACCAAGGAGGGTGGTCGTGAGTCATGACTCATGAGAAGTTTTCTTAATATTACAATAGTAGTATACTAGTATGTATGAGATTGTTATTTTTAGAATAATATGCACCACACACACACATATGGTGCATATTATATTTTAATATTTTTATTAATTCTATAATAATTTAAAGTTTATTATCCATGCAGTAAATTATTTTTAGAAAGCAAGAAGTAAATGAATTATGTAATCTAATGTCTATAAATATTTATATTTTGGATTCATTTCATGTGATCTAAAAATTGTGTAATTAGTGTGTCTGGTATTTAATATTGTTTGATATATGTTTTACAAAATCCTGTACTTGTTATCTAATAAAGATAATTAAACATTACAAAACTAGGAATTCTTATATAATAAGTATCTTAAATCTTAAATAACGAGTTACTCTATTGTTTATTTGTTTAAGTTATGTAAATTATTTTAGATGTTTCTTCTTTTAAATCTCCAATTAAGTATTACATTACGTAAGACTATATACTAATTTTGAAAATTAAAAGCTAAGGGGGGCGAATATAATTAAATTATGAAAGTTTTATGAAAATATTACATATATGGTAAAAAAAATTGAATGTCCAAGGGGGGCGGTCAACCTCCATCTCAAAGAAGTGGGTATTGCATGAAATGCAATTGGTAGACCAAGAGGAGTTCATAAGAATCCTATCAAGTTTAGCCCAAAGAGAGCCTCTATTCCAAGTGAAGAATTCACCGGTGGAAGGCGTATCAACAAGGTTAGTTTGAATCTTGAGATCATTAAGGTGTTGGATGTAGTAAGCCGAGGGAGTTATATTGCTTCTGTCGAGGTGATAAACTTTTTGTTGATTTACCTACTATCTAAATGATGTGTTATCAATTTAATCCTATTTCTTCTTAAAAAAGTACTCTGAGTGGTAATTTTCAAATATGAAATTCATTTGACATAAAATGAGACAACATAAATTTATTGACACGTGATGTATCAACACCAATTTGGAACAGAAGTTAGTTTTGTAGTTATGGCTTACATACTAGGAGCAAAACCATCAAGTCGTACATATCAATTTATAATCATATCTGAATATAATCAATATATAACAAAACTTAAATATAATATTTTTCACAAGAAATACTTTCGTTTAACTCATCAAAAACTAATATAAAAAAACCAAAACTTTCTAGTTGACACGAATGCAAGACAAAAACTCCCCCGACCTCCTATAAACTCTAGCTAGGGAATCATCACATTTTTGTCCTAATCTAGCTTCCGAATGATTGAATTGCTAATGAAAAATCTACACAGCTCAGCTTAGAAACTCTTAGAGGGTCGCTGTTTTATATATTGGCTGATTATGCTGAAATTTATGGAGTTTTGGCTGAAGTGGCTGTATTGCCTGATTCTGTTGATTCATAAAAAATTATATTTAAAATATTTATTATTAATAAATTAAATTAAATAATAAATTATATGAAAAAATAGCTAAAATGTCATCTACAGTAACTTCAGCCAATACAGTCAGAAAAGTAACTCCAACCTTACTTTTTCTGCTTATTACAAAGTTCAGCGCGCGAAATCAAAAGTTACGGGTTTGGTGGAAAAACAGGCTGATAAGCCTGATAAGCCGAAAAAAGGGGTCACCAAACGGGCTCTAGTCTAGTTCATAACTTGTACTTGGTACAGTAATTTGCAAATTCTTTGTATAAAACTTAGAGCCCGTTTGGTAGTACGGAAATCTGCTGATTTGGCTGATTCTGCTGAAATTTATGGAGTTATGGCTGAAGTGGCTGCGACTGATTCTGCTGATTTACGAAAAAATTATTTATAAAATTTATTTTATTAATAAAATAAAGAAAAAATTATATGTAAAATAGCTAAAATGATCATCTACAGTAACTTCAGTCAATACAGCCAGAAAAGTAACTTCAACCTTACTTTTTCGGCTTATTACACAATTCAACGCGCGAAAGCAAAAGTTACGTGTTTAGTGAAAAATTTGACTGATAAACATGATAAGCTGAAAAATAGTGTTGCCAAACGTTCTTTTACAACTAGTACTGGGAATTGAAGTACGATAGTGATATCAGAGTCAATAGGGTCTGGTAATCGAGATTCTAAAAGATTTTCCATAATAAAGTGCAATCACCTGAAACCATAACTGCATTGATCTTAACCCCTTAAGTTTATTTCTTACATAATTTAGGATACTTGATCAATAATTAGAATTGAACTGGTCTTTTTGAATTGTGTTATCCAATTCACAGGCTCACGACAACCGATGACAATCGGAGTCTCTCATTCCCATCTTTTTGTCCACATGACTCAACAATAGAAATATAAAAAATAAAAAACTTAGTGAATGAGATTTATTATGAAGTTAGCAAAATAACATTGACCTAAAATCAGGCAAATTCTACATTACCTCTGTGATATCATAGTGTCAAATGTCAATATGACGGAATCAATCAAAACATCACAATCGAATAGTTCAAATGCAATATACTCACTAATTATTAATTATTAATAGTAAAATAAGGAAGAAGAAAAAAGGGAACCATTTCAAATGAGTTTACTTTTCTTCATATATGGATTGAGGAAAAGGAAAGTTTGTGAGTTTATTAAGGAAGAAAAAGGGTAGTAGAAGAGTCAGATAGTCAATCAAAGCTTAATCTTCTGTTTCAGGCTTTAACTCCGTCTACCCCACCTGAAAGTGAAGTGACTCATATGTTGTCTCCATAAGATTCTATCTATCCTTTAATTTCAACAAAAATGATCTTTGCACTTACTCTTATACCCACCTTTTTACTTACCTATGTTTGTGAAGCTTTTTTTAATTGTCTGTGAACCCCGGTTCATAGACAATATTTTGCACAGACAAAATATTGTCTGTGAATCGTGTTCACAGACAAAAAAAACTTTCACAAACATGGTGGTATAAGGCGGGTATAAGAGTGGGTACATTAGAAGCATTGTTGTAATTTCAAAGCACCTCTCTTTTCGTCACTCCTTGGTGTTTTCCTCTCTGCAAATTCCTATGACATGTTTGTGGGACATCTGTGTTTCCTTCCTCGAAATTCTATTCTTTAATGGCTTTCTTTCGTCGATGGTTGTTTGGTCCAAGTATAAGAATCGCCTATTTTGTGCATGACACAATTATAAATATAATGATTGAAAAAGTAAAAATTAAGATTAAGATTTGAGTACAATAAGATGAAATGTTGCCTACTATATATTTCTTTTCAATAGGAAAAATGACATTTATTTTGGAATGACTCAAAAAGAAAAGTAAAATGAGATGAAAGGTGTATTTTTATGTATTAAAGTTCTGGATTAGTTGTATCAAATTGATCTTTTTGTGGGCCGTGTCCGCCACTGCCTAAGGCTAACACAATATGAGCCCAAGGTAAATACGTAGCACTTTACATACAAACATAGGAGAATAAAGAGTCTAATTGTTTGATTTGACTTTTTAATACGAAGTATAAACTACATAATTAATATACGAAATATTATTTGGGAATAATGGCTTACCCTCTTGGGTGCCTTATTAGGCTTGTATTTATAATAAAACAGAATTATGGAGAATTACAGAGTAAATTAATGGGCTATTTGGATAATTGCGTTTACCCCAAAATGCTGCTTTTTTTTAAATACACAATGCAGTGTTTTTGCTCCTGACCAAGGCCAATATAAAGCTTGTATTTACTTAATTACCTCCTCAAATGATGCATGTTTGATGTTTCTTCAAATATTTACATCCATGCAAAGTGATCTCTTTCTTAAGCTTCACACTCGATCAATCTCAATGCAAAATGTTAATGTGCGAATTGCCAACGGTCGAGAAGAATAAAAGAATGTACAATTGTACAAATTGAAACAAAAGAAATGAAATTAGTACATAAAAATTCTCATGTTTATATCATCTCCTTTTTTCTTATCAATCAAGAATATTATTTATTTCTCTTAACAAAACAAGAATAGTAAAGTGTTGACTTAAATTCCTCTCCCCATAAATGTTACTCACTGATTTATTAATCAACTTCCACATTTTTCTTCGTCATTAATTAACACCTATCCCTCATATATATGTCACGTATAGTACAGTGCAGTGCTACGCCATCAAGATTACATACTACGTAATGCAGTAGTGCTTGCCAAAAACCGGCCCATTATAAAAGATACCATGTTTTCTTTCAAAAATATAAAATATGGGAATTTTGAAAAAAATAGTCATGTTTAGGTGAATATCTTTTACACGTCACGTGTATACGATACCATGCCACATGGAGTTTCCTAGGTAATACCGTAATACTACGTATAATTCAGGATTGTATTGAATTAGGTTCGTCTTTAATTGGGTTATAAAAGACTATTGAGAAATTTACCTGCCGTGTGAGTAAAAGTTCCAACTTTTCTCATAATATGACATAGAAGTCTTTTTTCCTAAGATGATACTACAGTTATGGTAACCGTTGTGTATTATTTATTTTCATTCCAGATTCGGCAACTTTAGGGGAAGTTGGAGGCCCTCTACGTGTATTTGTTTTATGGTCATTTTGGTCTTTTAATATTCTTCACCATACGGATGCCAAGTTTTAAAAACCTTTTGTAGTCATACGGTGGTAAAAAAACATACCAACTCATATATTTTTCCCAAGACTATTTGCATAAACCACACCTAAGATTAATACATAATCTTACTACTCCATCCATCCCCTTTTAAAGGACCTTTTAAAGGACGTTATAGCTTGTTTTAACTTTTGTAATGGTAACTTTAAGTTGACATTTGTCTTTGCAAAAAAGAATTATGGAATTGATAAGGATTCATCGATCATTTTATGTCAAATAGTTCACGCCAAAATGATTTTGGCAAAGAATTGACATATAATATCACTGCCAAATGTTCTATGAATTTTGGCGAATCTCTGTTAATCGTGTGTCTTTTTGTATTGATTTAACAAAGATTATGTTAAATCTAACACGAAAATAGCTTTGAATAATTTATTTTAGTACGGGGTATATAATTAAGGAAATTTATTTATAAAAGCATTTTTTAAAAGTAAATTTTTTATATAATTTGATATGGAGTGCATTTTTAATCATTTTATCTTTTTATCTTATCTTGTTAATCGTTATCTTATTCTTATCTCTGTCTTTGTAAGATGGGTCATAAATGATATGACACTTCTTGAATTGAATAAGAGTATGACTTTCGAGAAAACGAATTGAATTGGAGGACACACATGCATGTGAAAGATTGATCTCATTTTATCTTTTCCCCTCTTTCTTAAATTCTTTATTTGTTATTTATTTATTTATTTATTACGGAGTACTACATAGTAATATATTATGGACACTCCTTCGGTATAATTATATACTCCACTAAACTTTCACTCCATATACTCGTTCCTGTTTCAGCTCAAGCTGAAACTCTTTTCTTCAACAGAAACAAATTAACTAGCATTAATCACATCATGATGAAGTACATGGCCGGATGATACAATCCAGCGGAGGAAAAAACCAAAACCGAGGATCAGACAAAGAAGACACCATCTTAGCTAAAGCACGAGCAGCTGTGTTCACAGAAGGCCTACATGAATGTAAGCGATGCTAGTAAACTCCCCTGCCGAGAGTATTAATCTCTTTTGCTAATAGCCCCAAAGACAAGCAACTAAGCGCCTCCTTCATGCTCATAAGCTGAAACTCTTGTTCTCTATATTTTGTCACCATACATACTTTGTTTTAACATCTGATCATTTTTAATTTCATCAATTAACACAATATCATCGGAAAATATCATTGAACACGATATATCTTCTTGAAATTCCTTCATGATGAGTTCATTTATGACTATAGCAAATAAGAAAGGACTCAGAGCCCATTCTTAATTGGTGCACTCTGATAGTAATAAGGAACTTTGCGTCCCCCTACACTAGTATGAACCCTTGTAGTACAATCCTGTTGATATACTTGCGTGATATGACTTTTCTAGTTAATTTCCATCGAAAGACATCCCGAAATAAGACTAAAATTGTTGCAAATAACACTAAAACACGAACAAATATGAGTAACTATGTTTTATTCTCAAAATAGGACTTATTTGATCTTATTAAAAAACATAAAATTTTCCCAATTAGGAGTGAACGAGTCTTATTTTAGGAAGAAAATAATGGTAATCTTATTTGTGCAATTTTTCTATGGTTTAGCGCTACCCAAGGAATTTTCTCTCTGATAATCTTTAAAGTCGAATTTTACATACAACTCCTTTTTCACTTTTCATCGTGCTTCCTTTAGTCTCTTTGTGCTCCTCTATGTTCTGGTCACTTCAACTTTCTCCCCAATTTTCGTAGCATTCTATTATGTTCCTAGCTTCTTATGATTGGTTCCACTTATCATGACACCAAGATGCGTTCTTTAATTTTTGTGTGTGAGAGTCATAAGTCATTCTTTAGATTCTCTAAATATCTCTTTTGCCAATTTGTAAATGGGTTGCGCCATTGATAACTATACGTAGTGTACATTTGCGTCATTATCAATACACTATACATTATCACCAAATATTTTGTGTGCAACGCTTTGTTGGAGATTACTTTATCTTTGGCTCCATTTTTTGTTCAACGTAACCCACCTTGTATGCTTGTTAGTTGTTTCCTCAAGAAACAAATTAAACACAAGGATCCTATGTTGATGAGTGACACGAGAGTTAGAATTTATCTTGTGATTTGTGAATGTTTTGTGCATGACTTTCTTGAAATATGGGGGCCACATTTTTAAAACAAAAATGATCTTTTTACCCACTTTTGTACCCACCTATGTTTGTGAAGTGTTTTTTTTTTGTCTGTGAACCCCGGCTCACAGACAATATTTTACACAAACAAAATATTGTCTATGAACCGGGTTCACAGACAAAAAAAAACCTCCACAAACATGGTGGGTATAAGATGGATATAAAAGTGGGTAAATGAAGTATTTTTGTTTTTAAAATTACCTTAGCTTTCATCACTACCAACAAGTAAAATTCATTTTAAAAAACATGCAAATATAGCAGGCTGAGATGAGATGAGATACAAGAGAAGACAAAACAAAAAGATCACATCAAAAAAAGAGCAAAGCAGATAGAATATTTCTTTCTCTCTCTCATCATCATCATATCCATTATTAAAAGGACCTCGATCTCTTGTGTGAACTGTCCGTCTTGCTTAGGTGAAAGACAAACATGGCTAATAATAGTATCCAAGACCTGTCACCGAAGAAACATCATTGGACGTCTAAAGTTAGCAATGAAGAAGAAGAGGAAGATGATGATCTGATATCCATAAATCACGCCGCGGCCGCAGTCATAGTAAGCACAAACGAAGAAGATACCCATCAGCGAAAGAGCGGGAGATCAAGGAAGCAAGAGGCGCGCAGGAAGCTACAAGCAGTGGCAGTTTCGAGGCTGAAATCGATGCTAACCATGCTGGGCAGGAACAGAAGAAACATATTCTTCCTCCATCACCACCACCACCACCACCAGGGTCTGGGGACAAGGCTAGTGGGGACGCTGTTCGGGTTCCGGAGCGGGCATGTCCACCTGGCGCTCCAGAAGGATCCCGTTTCCAGGCCGGTTTTCCTGGTGGAGCTGGCCACCCCGATAGCCGGCCTGGTTCGGGAAATGGCATCCGGTCTTGTCCGGATCGCGTTGGAGTGCGATAAAGAAGAGAAGACGATGAGGGGAGCGGGTGCGGGGAAGCCGCTTCTCGAGGAGCCGGTGTGGAGAACGTACTGCAACGGGAAGAAATGCGGGTTCGCGGCGCGGAGGGAGACGGGGGAGAAAGAATGGGAGGTTTTGAAGGCTGTGGAGCCCATTTCAATGGGGGCTGGCGTTTTACCAAATAATAGTAACAGTGATAATAAGGGAGGAGAAGGAGGAGGAGGGGAGATAATGTATATGAGAGCTAAGTTTGAGAGAGTTGTTGGGTCTAGAGATTCAGAGGCACTGTACATGATGAATCCAGATAGCCATGGGGCTCCTGAGCTTAGTATTTACTTGCTTAGAATTTAATTATTCCATGAACTAGCTAGCTAGCTTAATTAGCTAGCAGCTGTATCTTAGCTTGTCATTTCCTTTTCCATGGCCGGCCTTGAATTGAATCGGTTGCTATACATAGATATATACATACAACAAGCTAAGCGATTCATCGATCAGTCCTCTGCTGTAGTGCTGTACTATATATTCCGACCTATGTTGCACAGAAACACGGATGTCATCAGAAAATGAGAAATAGGAAACTCAAATTTTGCAAAAAAAAAAACGCTTGTCGGGAGAGTTTCCAAAGAGTAAAATGGAAACGTACTCTTTCCCGCGTTTTCGTGCTACATAGATTCCGACATTATATCTGTACGTCAAATTCAATCAATTCTTAACTTCCAATTTGGCCATTTTTCTACATCCATTGTGAAGGAGGAGAGTTCTATCTCACCTACCTATATATCATCTTGCATTGCATTCTTGCCCATTATATTATTCATTAATTATCATCTATAATGTGTTAGTAGATATGAGTATCCACTAGCTAGCTGCATGTTAAACTACTCTTGTCGATCCCTGATAGTGAATATATATGTAGATTATAGGAAGTATTATTTGAGGGGAAATTAAACATATATAGAAAAAACATCAAAGTAAGCATCCGGTCAGATCAGATTGAAAGCCAAATTAAAGTGTAGACCAAATTAAACTTGGTATCTGTCTTTTTTGGGTGAGGGTAAAGCTTAGTTGTTCAATCTTGAAGGATCAAACAGCCAGTCAATAATCATTACATAAATGTTACTACTGTTTTTATTTAAATAAAAAAGCCATATCATATATAAAAGCATAAAACTGCAGCATGCTTAATCATGATGAATTCCCAAAGAGATCCTAAATGAGGTTGACCTCTAAAGTGACATATACAGTTATGTGAAAGTAAAAATGTCACTGACATTTAGAATGTTAGATATGTGTGATTGGTATTTTGTGTGCTTTTGTTAAGACCCGGGGTTCCATCCTAAAAGGTCACCTGTTAGGAGGAGTAGCCCAAAGTCTTATATAGTGTTTTTATTGTTTTATAGCTAAACAAGCCGTCAAACCACAACCGGAATTGACTCTGATACCATGTTAAGACCCGAGGTTCCATCATAAAAGGTCAACCTGTTAGGAGGAGTAGTCCAAAACCTTATATAGTGTTTTAATTGTTTTATAGCTTTCCGGTGTGAGGCAAATGCTTCGATTTATACATGAATATTTCTTGAGAAGTTTTATCAATGTCACCAATTATAATAGGGAAAATCGCATATATGGTCCCTCAGTTATCCACGAAATTAAAATCTCAGACCTGTATTTCTGAGATTGTAAATGTCACTGTTGAAGATGGAGTCTTGTTCAGAGTTTCAGAACTGATACCCGACCGGGTCAGATGAAGGACCCAACCGGGTATGTTGAAGCAGAGACCTGGGAGCTCACTGGACGTGAGACCCGACCGGGTCAGGTGAAGGACCCGATCGGGTCAGATGATCAGAGAGCTTCTGTTTTGGAAACCCGACCTGGTTTCTACCGGGTTTGTGTTCTGTGAAGGAGACCCGACCGGGTCAAATAAGAGACCCGACCGGGTCAGTCGACGGGTTTTTTAAATAACAGGCTTAATTTTGGGCCTGCGGCTCTAATCTCAGTTTAGGTTTTCTTAAACCTATTTAAACGACTCTTATGTACTTGTAAACCTCTTGGGACGCTGATAATAATACATCCTCTCTCTCGTTCGCCGTGGATTAGCGTAATCACCCCGATTGCGTGAACCACGTTAATTCTTGTGTTCTTGCTCTTAATTTATCGTTTATCTTTGCCTAATCGTAACAATTGGTATCAGAGCTATGGCTGACGAAGGGAAGGTTAAGATCGATAAATTTGATGGTCAAGATTTCGCTTTCTGGAAGATGCAGATCGAGGATTATCTCTACCAGAAGAAGCTTCATCAACCGTTGTCCGAGAACAAACCAGAAACGATGACGGAGGCGGAATGGAATTTGTTGGATCGACAGGCTCTTGGTGTGGTGAGGTTGTCGTTGGCGAAGAACGTTGCCTACAACATCGTCAACGAGAAGACAACGTTTGGACTGCTCAAGGCGTTATCCAACATGTATGAGAAACTGTAACACCCCGGCCCCACCGGACCCGATATCCAACGGATCAGCACACTGTCGCAGGGTTGCTCTGATACCACTTGTAACACCCCGGCCCCGCAGGACCCGAGGTAGTTACTTCGGACCAATAGTACTGTCCCCACAAACCACCACAAGCCTTTACCGCGCACTTTGTCCTCACTCATGCGCGCCCTGAGAAGCTTCCCAGGGGGTCACCCATCCCAAGACTACTCCCGTGCAAGCACGCTTAACTTTGGAGTTCTTGGGTAATGAGTTCCCTTAAAAGGAGATGCACCTCTGTTTGTATGAGTAGTACTATCAATCCGTTTATATTAAATCTCAAGTGTTACAATCACCCCCACTTAGGAACGCAACGTCCTCGTTGCGCCCATAAATCAATCTCAATCAAATCCCAGAATCTTTTCCCCTTGCTAGGTGTCTGCCCGATATCTAACGGGTCATCACACTGTCACGGGGTTGCTCTGATACCACCTGTAACACCCCGGCCCCACCGGACCCGATATCCAACGGATCAGCACACTGTCGCAGGGTTGCTCTGATACCACTTGTAACACTTGAGATTTAATATAAACGGATTGATAGTACTACTCATACAAACAGAGGTGCATCTCCTTTTAAGGGAACTCATTACCCAAGAACTCCAAAGTTAAGCGTGCTTGCACGGGAGTAGTCTTGGGATGGGTGACCCCCTGGGAAGCTTCTCAGGGCGCGCATGAGTGAGGACAAAGTGCGCGGTAAAGGCTTGTGGTGGTTTGTGGGGACAGTACTAGTGGTCCGAAGTCTATTGCGCCCTTAAACCAATCTCAATCAAATCTCAATCAAATCCCAGAATTTCCCCCCGCTAAGTGCCCGCCCGATATCCAACAGGTCATCACACTGTCGCGGGGTTGCTCTGATACCACTTGTAACACCCCGGCCCCGCAGGACCCGAGGTAGTTACTTCGGACCAATAGTACTGTCCCCACAAACCACCACAAGCCTTTACCGCGCACTTTGTCCTCACTCATGCGCGCCCTGAGAAGCTTCCCAGGGGGTCACCCATCCCAAGACTACTCCCGTGCAAGCACGCTTAACTTTGGAGTTCTTGGGTAATGAGTTCCCTTAAAAGGAGATGCACCTCTGTTTGTATGAGTAGTACTATCAATCCGTTTATATTAAATCTCAAGTGTTACAGAAACCCTCAGCAGCAAACAAGGTTTTCTTGATTAGACAGTTGGTGAATACAAGAATGAAGGAAGGTGCATCCGTGGCAGATCACATCAACGAGTTTAATTCAATCATATCCAGGTTAGGCTCGGTTGAGATTAAATTCGATGATGAAGTCCAAGCGTTACTTTTGTTATCATCTTTGCCCGATAGTTGGTCCGGTACAGTCACAGCGGTTAGTAGTTCATCTGGAACCACTAAGCTTACCTTTGAAGGTATTCGTGACTTAATCCTTGGTGAGGATATCCGGAGGAGGAGTTCGGGGGATAGCTTCAACAGTTTGTTGAGTACTGAAGATAGGGGCAGAAAATCCACTAGAGGAGGTAACAAGAAGGGAAGATCGAAGTCGAGAAAGAGAGGGCAATTCAAGAACCGGAAGGACATCAATTGTTGGAATTGCAAAGAGAATGGACACTTCAGAAATCAGTGCCCAAAACCCCCTGCAGACAAAGGCAAGAAGGAGGTGAACGTGGCAGAGGATTATGAAGATGTTCTAATTTGCAGCGTTGAGAATTCAGTTGAGTCCTGGATCATGGATTCAGGTGCGTCGTTTCATGCTTGTCATTGCAGGGATTTGATGAAAAATTTCAGGCCCTACAACGGAAGAGTTCGTTTGGCGGATGACAAATCCCTGGAGATCACGGGTATTGGAGATGTTGATCTCAGTACCTCTTTGGGTACAACCTGAAGGCTGAAAGATGTGAGGTATATTCCAGACCTGAAGAAGATGTTGATCTCAGTGGGACAGCTTGATGAGGAAGGCCATAACGTTAGTTTTGGCAACAAGCAATGGAAGGTAACAAAGGGAAAGCTGGTCATTGCTCGTGGGCAGAAGCATGGTACACTGTACATGGTTGAAGTGTCCACAGATGGGGCAAACGCAGCAGTTGAAGATACAGGGGTCTCTACTTTGTGGCACCAAAGACTTGGGCACATAAGTGAGAACGGAATGAAGATGCTGTCTTCAAAGGGCAAAATCCCAAATTTGAAGAATTCAAAGTTGAGCTTTTGTGAGCCATGTGTTCTAGGCAAACAAAAGAGGGTAACCTTTGTGAAGACAGGGCAGCAACCCAAGACTGAGCGGCTGGAGTTGATTCATTCAGATGTCTACGGACCTACAAAGGTCTCTTCGATTGGAGGTTCCCGTTACTATGTTACATTCATTGATGACTCTACACGGAAGGTATGGGTTTATTTTCTTAAAAATAAATCCGATGTCTTTAACACTTTTAAGAAGTTCAAAGCTGCAGTTGAGAATGAAACAAATCTCAAGATTAAGTGTTTAAAGAGTGATAATGGGGGTGAGTACAGTAGCACAAAGTTTGTAGAGTATTGTGCTGAACAGGGGATCAGAATGCTGAAGACGGTTCCAGAAACACCACAGCAAAATGGTGTTGCAGAGAGGATGAACAGAACACTGAATGAGAGGGCCAGGAGCATGAGATTGCATGCAGGACTTCCAAAAATGTTCTGGGCCGATGCGGTGAACACAGCAGCATACTTGATTAACAGAGGACCCTCATCTCCCATAGGTTTCAAAATTCCAGAAGAGGAATGGAAAGGTCGAGAGGTATCCCTTACTCACTTGAAAGTTTTTGGTTGTATTTCTTATGTCAAAGTTAGAGATGCAGATAGTGACAAGCTCGAGGCAAAGGCAAAGAAGTGTATCTTTATTGGGTACGGGATGGATGACATGGGCTACAGGTTCTGGGACAACCACAGCAAGAAAGTTATCAGAAGTAGAGATGTCACCTTCAACGAGAACGCCCTGTATAAAGATGGTCTTGCAGCAGAAACTAGCAAAGCCAAGCAACCAGAAAACAAGCAACAAGTGGTGTTTGACGGGATGACTGAAGATGACATAGCACAACCTGTTGGTTGTGATAAGACAGCTGGAGGTTCAGGGAGCAGTGGGAGCTCAGGAGATACAGGAATGTCTGAAGATAGTGGGAGTGATGAAGATGGTGAAAATTCAGAGGCAGCTACTCCTCAAGTCAGACATTCCACTAGAATCAGAAGACCTCCTAACAGATATTCTCCTTCATCAAATTACCTGTTACTGACCGAGAATGGAGAGCCAGAATCTTACTCAGAGGCGCTGACCATGAAAGATTCCATACAGTGGAAGAAGGCCATGGAGGATGAGTTAG